TGGGAAGCAAACCGGCGACCTCCTGGTGCATGGGTCGATGCTCAACCACTGAGCCACACTGGCCAGGCTATAACTAGGGTTTTGAACCCTGCATTTGATTGATTGTTTATCTCCATTTTGATTAGTTGTTTTCCTGGAATTCTGTTCTGTTCTTTCATTTGGGACGCCTTTCTTTGTCTCCTCATTTTGGCTGCTTCCCTGTGTTTGTTTCTATGTATTAGGTAGAGTTGCTATGTCTCCTAGACTTTGTGGCCTATTATTGTAGGTGTCCTGTAGGGTCCAGTGGTGCAGCCTCCCTGATCACCCCAGCTGGGCCCTCGAGGTGCACCCCTAGTGTGGACGGTACACCCTTCTGTTATAATTGTGTCTTGATTGCTATTGGCATATCAATGGGAGAGATTTACTCAGGCTGATCAGCTGCAAGGACTGGCTGTGCCCACTGCCCACTGGCCTCTGACTCTCATGGGGGATCAGCTGTGCAGGGGCCCACCACACAGAGCAAGATTTACTTCATCAGGGCTCTGGTACCCACTGAGTCCACTCATTGAGTGTGACACTTTGGAGGTGATTGGGTGGTGGTGCTTCGATGTGGTCTGAAGCTGTCTACTGGGTGTACTGGCTCTGGGGCAAGGTCAGCCACTGCCTGTGTTCTACCCGGGGCCACCCGGCATAAATTACAAAGTGATCTGCTGATGGCTGCTTCTTCTGTTGGGCTTGGAGATGCCCAGGAAAAGCCAAGTTGTGAGCCAAAGCTGATTGCTTCCAGTGCCAGGCCTGGGGCCACTTAACAAGAGGTATGGGGCTCACTGAGACCAGATGCTGCTTGTTTGAGAGATTTCAGGAAAATCTGAAGGAGGAGCCAACACAGGCCGATCCTATGGTAAAGCCTTAGAAGCAGCTTGGGTGGGCCCAAAAGTTGGGTGGGGCAGGGCCTCGGGGAATCACCAGGGAGGGGCCCACAGTGTGAGCCAGGTTGCTGGAGTCCCAGGTATGGTGGCTGTCTGCCGCCCCCGGGAAGGGCTCACCAAAGGAACAATGGCCTCCCACAGCAAGTCTGACCAGGAGAAAGCTGCCCCTTCAGCTCTCGCCCCAATGTCAAACAACTCAGTTCTTCCCCATATGTCTCTGGCTCCCTTCAAGCTGCCTCCCCAGTGTTGTATCTCCCCAATGTTGGAGCTCAGAGAGGTCCAAGAATAAGTCCATCCTCAGGCCTTTTAAGAGGAACTGCCTGGGGCTCCAGAGGCCGCAGTCTCCTTCAGCCTCAGTTCCTGCTGGTTTTACAACTAGAGGTTATGGGGACCTCTCTTTCTGGCACTGGAACCCTTAGCTGGGGGCCTGGTGTGGGACAGGTGTCCTCCTGATTTTTATCTGCCACACGTGGGTGTGGGACCAGCCTGTCTGCGCCTCTGCCCTTCCTACCAGTCTCCATGTGGCCTCTTCTTTAATTTCGTAGTTGTAGGACTTCCCTTCAGCTTGGTGTCAGGTGGTTCTAAAGGATGGTTGTGCTGTAGTTTAGTTGTCATTTTGATGTGGTTGTGGGAGGAGGCGAGACCACATTTACCTATACCGCTATCTTGACTGGAAGTCCCTCCTTTTTATTCTTTCTTTATTGATTTTAGAGAGGGGGAGGGAGAGATAAAAACATCAGTGAGAGAGAACATCAATTGGCCCCCTCCTGCATGCCCCCCACTAAGGATTGGGCCCACAGCCTGGGCATGTGCCCTAACCAGGAATCGAACTGGCAACCTCTTGGTGCAGGGTTCGATGCTCAACCACTGAGCCACACCAGCCAGGCACCTCCTTTTTATTCTTGAAGTGTGTTCTTTCTTTTTTTTTTAATCCTCACCCAAGGATATTTTTCTATTTATCTTCAGATAGAGTGGGGGAGAGAGTGAGAGGGAAACATCAAAGTGAAAGGGATACACAGTCTGGTTGCCTCCTGCACAATCCTGACCAGGGCAGGGACGAACCACAACCGAGGTACGTGCCCTTGGCTGTAATCAAACCCAGGACTCATTGGTCCATGGGCCGACACTCTACCGCCAAGCCAAACTAGCCAGGGCACTGAAGTGTGTTCTTCATATATTCTGGATACATATCCCTTATCAGATATATGATTTACAATACTATTCTCAAGATTAAAAAAAAAACAAACTGATTTGAGAGAAAGAGAGAACATCGACTTGTTGTTTCACTTATTTATGTGTTGGTTGATTCTTGTACGTATGTGCCCTGAACGGGATCGACCCACAACCTTGGTGCTTTGGGATGGCTCTCTAACCAACTGACTACCTGACCAAGTCTTCTCAAGATTTTTATGATTATCATTAAAAAGAAAAAATTGTCTTCCATGTATTAGATATAAACCAATAACTTCTATGAAAAAAGAATTCCACAGCCCATAAAAAAAATAAGTAAAAAAAAAGTTCTCAAGCTGGATGAGTGAGCTGGATTTTGGTCAGTTAGATGTAAGCCAGAGGCAGTTTAGTCTCATAGTACCCAATGGCCAGTCAATGGGTCAGCTGTATCTGAACCACCTAGAGCGTTTTCTCTTTTTATTATCTCAGACATATTGAGTCAGAATATCCAGGGATAAGGCTAGGGAACCAGTATTTTTTTTAAAAATCCAGATTTGGGATTATTGTACCTTAAACTATAAAACAAAGCATAACTGTTGTTTCTCAGCAGGCAAACTACCTCCTGTAGCAGGTGGATGGACATTAACATATTTGACCTAGACTAGAAAACTGGAAACTGGGAGAGGGTTGAAGGCAAACGAGAAAAACATACCCCACGTGATAGGTTTTGGTACAGAAAGGGACTTAGTCCAGGGCGACCTGGTAATATGTGCTTACTTTTATCTTTTTCTTTGTTGATTGTAGATTAAGGAAGGGAAGAGAGATAGAAACATCATTGAGAGAGAACATGGATTGGCTGCCTCCTGCATGCACCTCCACTGGGGATTTGGCCCACAACCTGAGCATGTGTGGCTCAGTGGATTGAGTGTCGTTCCATGGACTGAGAGGTCCCAGTTCGATTCCCAGTCAGGGCACTTGCCTGGGTTGCAGGCTCATTCCCCAGTATGGGGTGTGCAGGAGACAGCTGATTGATATTTCTCTCTTACATTGATGTTTCTATCTTTCCCTTCCTAAAAAAAAAAATCAATAAAAACATATTAAAAAAAATCAATGGAAAAATATCCTCAGGTGAGAATTAAGGAATTTAGTTGCCAAGTTTTAAGCATCAGTAGACCTCCCATAAAAACCAGGGTTTATTTGAAAAAGTGAAGACCTGCAATCTGGACTTTTTCTTACAGTGCTTGTCACTCATCAGTGAGGACGAGGGTTGGTCACCAATGATCATGTTATATCCAGGTTGCATCACTTTTTATTTTTCCTTTATTAATTTTAGAGAGAAAGGAAGGGAGAGGGAGATAGAAAGATTGATGAGAGAGAACATTGACTGGCCAACTCCTGCATGCCCCCCACTGGGGACTTGGCCCACAACCTGGGCATGTGCCCTGACTGGGAATGGAACTGGCGACCTCTTGGTACATGGGTTGACGCTCAACCAGTGAGCCACACTGGCTGGGCTGCCTATTTTTTAATTTAAAAAATTTATTTTTCAATTACAGTTTTATTGAATATTATTTTGTACGTATTAGGTTCAGGTGTACAGCATAGTGGTTAGACACTCATATACTTTACAGTGTCCCCCCCCCCCCAATATTTCCAGTGCCCAGCGGGCATCATACAGTTATCACAATATTACTGTTTCCTATGCTGTACCTTACATCCCTGTGACTATCTTGTACCTACCAATCTTCTCAATCCCTTCACCTCTTTCACCCAGTCCCCCAATCACCCTCCCCTCTGACAACCATCAGTCTTTGTTTCTAAAAAAAATTTTTTTTTTCTTTATTGATTTTCTTAGAGAGAGAGGAAGGGGGAGAGGGGGAGAGAGAGGGAGAGAAACAGAAGCATGGATGAGAGAGAACATGGACTGGCAGCCTCCTATATGCCCCTTTGGGGATTTGGCCCACAACCTGGGCATGTGCCGACTGGGAATCGAACCGGTGACCTCCTGGTGCATGGGTCGGCACTCAACCACTGAGCCACGCCAGGCGGGCAGCTGCATCACTTTTCACACTCACTGTTTATATTACCTACTTGGCTCCTGTAGACATCTGAAGCTGCCCCCTCCCCTCCATCTTGTCTGTTCCCTGCCTACATCCACAGATCCTCTGACATACTCCACTTGTCCCCCAAGGCCCAATGGATCACACCTACATTTTCACCATGTTTGGACTGGACAAGCTGAGTGGCAAGATAAAGACAAAGATGTGGTTTTAGTTTATATTCAGAACAGCTAACACATCTATTGGCTTATGGTCAGCTGGACAGGACTTAAGATTTCTGGGATATACACCCATTTTTGCCCTTTCCTCCCATTAAAGAAAACAAATGATAACATAATAGACAGTGGTTGGGTCTACAGTAACTTTATTGTAACAGAGAAACCAGGCTGCAGTAAGTCTACACAATTAGAGTAGATGGTGGTTATCTTTCCAAAGGTGAACTAAGTCTGAGCCCAGCTGGAAGCACACGGAGGTTAGAACCAAAGCCCTGAATATCCTCTTGCCTGGTTTAACCCTGCAGCACCTGACTCACGATGTGAGACAAGCGACTGCACAGCAGCACTGAACGAAGGTACCAGGTCCAACTGGGCACAGGCACTGTCCTGGTAGAAGGCAGGCAATCACTGAAGAGGATGCTGACGTATCTCGTTAACCATTCTCCACTATTTGCTGGAAAAGGGTATGGGGTGAGCAGTAAATTATGTTCTTCATTCTTCTAACAAGTGAATGCTATAGGATGGGATTGATGGTCAATCAAGCAGAATAGGATGAAAATCTAAGCTGGTTATAGATCTTAGTGCCTAAGAAAAAGAACAGCAGTGATAAAAGAAGAGAGGGGAACATTAAAAATGCACGTAAGTAAGTACAAGGAGAGCCGCCTTTTTTTTTTTTCCCCTTTAAGACTGGAAACAGCATCTTTTAATTTTCCTCACTGCAGTGGCAGCCGACTTGCTGGTTTTCACAAAATACAATTTCTGTGATGTGGTCTGTTGCTATGGCTGTTCCGTCCTGGAAGGACAAACGTGAGGCTGACTATTACTGTCAGAACTAGGTGGTCTTCTCATAAAGCCGCTACTAAATGGCATTTTCTTGCTGATTCAACTCTGCAAGGTGCCACAGTTAAAGCTTCTGAAATATTGCAATGGTGTGATTGACAGATTTTTTTGGCTATGACTTTCTCGTACCATGTAAACTCTTTTGGAAAAGCTGGAGATACAAAGATGAGGGAGAGTTTGGTTTAGAGCCACAAAGTTCCACGCACCAGCCACAGATGCCTCTGCCTATTTCCCTACATGCTCTTTTCTGAGAAACACATTCAAATGCTGAGTTTTAAGTACTGCGGTTGAAAGAAATGATCTGCTCACCACCATCCACCCTCCCTCTTCCTCCATGTGAATCTCACAACAGCAGAGGTTGATAGGAAGGTTGTCTCTGTTTCCTCCCATCAGGGAAATTACTTGGTGACCTGGTGAATGGCATGGGCAAGGTAGCCTACGTTGCCAGAGGTGACCCCTGCCACGGAGATGCGGCCATCTTTTGTCATATAGACGGAGAACTCCTTGGTCAGCCGCTCCACCTGCACAGAGAAGAATGCTTAGGCATGTCCTGCTCATGGGGGTCCCCAGCCCTGGCACAGCAGAACAATAACATAGGCTGTTTTCTCACTTAAACTCTATTCCCAGAATTTAGTGTGCTAGCTTAGAGTGAAAGAAGGAAAAAACAGCTATTTTAAAGTAGGGTGATGAATTCTGAGGGGGAACAGGTGAAAAAAATCTTAGATTTGGCATCTGAAGTAAAAAGAGATCCAGGATCCAGCTATAGATCAGCTGTTTCTTACTAATTTTCAGGCTCCTGCTTGTTCTGGTATCTCTGCAGAGAAGGAGCAGTGGTCACAAAAATGATGAAAACAAGTCCTGTTCTTTGGAAGTTTTAACCAAATGGAGGATTCATATAGGTAAGTGACTAATAAAGAATAAAGCAAGATGAACGCTACATACTTCATTTACCTAAAGTCCTCCAGAATGACTTTTTAGGGTAATCCTGGATAGGTAGGTGACCTAGGAGGACTGATTAATTGGTCTGCTACAGAGAAATTGGAGTCCACTCACCTGTTCGGGCTTTAGTCCTGTGAAACAAAACATGCCAATCTGGTCGGTGATGTGCTGCCAGTTGTGGGAGGACCCCTCCTTCTTGAGGTTGGAGACCAGCTGGGTCCGCATGCTAATGATGCGGTCAGCCATGCCTTTCACTTCTTGCAACCTGTAAAAACCCGGAATGCAACTCAATTCTGGCCAAGCCCTGACAGATATGCCATAGCTCATAGCATTTAAAAAAAATTTTTTTTCCTTTTTATTGATTTTAGAGAGAGAGAAAGGGAGAGGGAGAGAGAGATAGAAACATCGATGAGAGAGAACATTGATTGGCTACCTCCTGCAAGCCCCCCACTGGGAATTTGGCCCTCAACCTGGGCATGTGTCCTGACCAGGAATCGAACTGGTAACCTCTTGGTGCATGGGGCAACGCTCAACCACTGAGCCACACTGGCCAGGCGCTCACAGCATTTTTAGCTTCCTTGAGTATCCCTAGTATGCCTTGACTGAGTCATAAGCTGGTCCATAGCACTCTATTTTATCTCAGAACACTATTCTGATTAGGCAACTAAATAAGTTAACGTGACTGAGTTACTAGGAAAAATGAATGAATGAATCACGCTAAAACTTGGGAAGGCTAAGGCTTCCCACCTTTTATGCAGGGGACAAAAGCTAGTGGGTTGTGGTCAAAAAAGACTGATTAACACAAACTTAGAGCTCAGGTGCCAAGAGATTCAGATGGTACATATAATAAAAACAAAAGATGCAGAGATTCCAATTTGATGTTAGCTATTATTAAAATAAAAACAAAAATATGATGTTCTTAAAGAAGTGTTCCTATGTAAGGTACTTCAATATAAACTTGAATTTAGGAGAAGGCACGTTTTACTTAATCTGAAGATAATGGAATAAAAGAAACCACCATCTTTGCATTAGGTTTGTCTATTCCAGGGGAAGACCAATGTATTTATTTGAAAGTGCTAACAAAACGCCCTCTTCTCTCCCTTCTTCCTTCCAAATATGGTAGTTGTGTGATACTGTATGTCACTAGTGGCCAATTACAAACAAGCTTTGAAGGCTTAGTGGTGGGGAAGGCGGATGGCTGCTGGGTGGCAATGTGCCTTTACCACTGTTTTCGAAGGTCGGGGCTGTTCAGAACGGTGGAGGCAATCCGGGCCCCGTTGACAGGGGGGTTGGAATACATGGGACGAATCAAGATCTTCAACTGTGACTCCACCTTTTTGGCTTCATCCGCATCTTTGCAGACCACAGTGAAGGCTCCCACACGCTCACCTGAAGAGACAAAATGGATCTTGTCTTCTACTTCTATCTAAAGCAATAAAGAAAGTCATCAGAGACACCACAAAAACAACTCTTTGTTATAAGTAAAATAATTTTAGCAACCATGATGGTGAATCTGGGTACAACAGAAAGTTTGAGTACTCAAGAGTGTTCAAAGATCTCTTTCTATTGTATCCATCTTTGTGGCCCATGCAGCAGCCACTTACTTATTGTTTAGAGAAGTAATAATCAGTTTTCTTTGCTGGAAAAATTCAAGGACACTAAAGAAGATGTGGTTAAGATCATTACAATCCATTCTACCTGTCTTTCCTCTCTGGGTAAGGAGGGACACGGACAACACACATGCATACACACGAACACACAACAAACTCCACACCTGTGTGGCATCCCATCAGAACACACATGGCACTGGGGCCTTTACCGTATAAGCCCATGTTCTTGGCATAGGACTGGCAGAGGCAAACATCGATGCCCTGTTCAATGAAGTGGCGCACAGCCCAGGCATCCTTGTTACCATCACCACTGGCAAAGCCCTGGTAGGCCATATCAAAGAACGCAAAGAGATTGTTTTTCTGGGAAGGAAAAGAGAAGATCAGAGCTTTAGGCGGTTCCTCTCAGGATGCCCGGATGACCATCTGTGCTTATCGGGACCAGGCCTGCCTCACACAGACACAGTAGACACGTTTCCACCCCAGCTGGCAGTTGGAAATGTTTAAGTTTCCGAAGAGTTAAGATATAAACATATATTTTTTACTCTGGTTGGTATGGTCCCTCAAGAAGAACTTAAGAAAGAAGAATCTTAATCTCAATATTCCCAGAAAGCTGCTTAGTCAAACAGGAAACTCTTTTTAGGCTCACAGTGGTCTGGGTCATTATTTTGGTCCAGTGAACACAGAACCAGCATCAGCCCTTTCTGGGGCTAATGTCACTCAGGCAGACTCCTCTTATACCCAGGGCTCAGGAGGTGGCCACATTACAGCCATGTCATCCTGAAAGTGCTCTCTGAAGGCTGTTTCTCTGTCTCATTCTGTCTGCAGCTGAGGTTGGACAGAATGTAAAGAAAGGGGAACCAAAAGGAATGAAAATGGGCCCGGCCAGTGTGGCTCAGTGTCATCTGAGTGTCATCCCTTGGACTGAGAGGTCCTGGTTCCATTCCCAGTCAGGGCACATGCCTGGATTGTGGGCTCGATCCCCAGTAGGGGGTGTGCAGGAGGCAGCCCACTGATGTTTCTCTCTCTCTCCCTTTCTCTCTCTAAAAAGTCAGTAAAAACATATTTTAAAAAAAAAGGAATGAAAATGGGGACGCAAGCCCTGGCCAGTTTGGCTCAGCGGTTGGAGTGATGGCCTGCAGACTAGAGAGTCCCGGGTTCGGTTCCTGCTAGGGGTACGTACCAAAAAAAAAAAAGAAAGAAAATGTGGACGCAAGGAACAGGAATATCTTCCTCCCTAGGAATTTTGCCTTGTGCCTGCTCTGCCAGCTGACCCTACGAATGGTAATGGCAATGCCGAGGGAAGTGGCAAGGGGACATGAAAATGTGGAAGAAGGATGAGCAAGTCACCACTGACCAGGACAAATGTAGAGACCAACAGCAGACATCTGTGGTCAGTCCAGATGACAAGTTTCCTGAGAATTATTTTCACCCTGCTCATGCAGCATCAGTTATAGAACTGCTAATCATGCCAACGCGGAGCTCTTCTCTGCCATTAATACTGTGTGGACCTTTCATGGGGGCTCGAGGTAACTAGCTGTCACTGCCAAGACGCTGCAGGTCAAGCCTAAGGCTGGAGCAGCCCCGGTCGGCCCCTCACCTTCACCACGGCGGCTATCTCCTTCCACTGCTCAGGGCGCGGGTCCACTCCTGTGGGATTGTGGGCGCAGGCATGCAGGAGAAGAACACTCTGCTGTGGCATTTTCTAAAAAGACAAACAGCCAAGACATTGCTTTGCAGCTTTAAAAGGAGATAATTTACCTGAAATGCCATAGGGTCACTATTACTTGATAAATAACAAAAAAACCCCTGAGGTTTGGGAGTTAGCTCATCCCAGTATTTTAAGTCAGGTATTGAGACCAAGATGGGAGACAGCAAATCTCCACAGGACATTCATTCCTGTTTTTTTTTCCTCCCACCCCCAAAAGCCACACTTACTGAAATGTCCTCCATAGCGCCTGTGAAGTCAAAGCCACAGGTCTTGGGGTCATAGTATCGATAACCCTGCAGCTGCATGCCAGCGTCCCTGAAGATGGGCGTGTGATTTCCCCAGGTTGGTTTGGGCAGAAAGACATCTCGGCTGAACTTAAAAAATCTTTGCTAAGAGATGAGATGAAAGGGAATGAAAAAAAAAAATGATGAAAGGAGAGGCCAAAAAATAAACAGTTGATCTATTTTACTGAAAGGACATTTTTCTCTTCTGAAACACAGCTTCTCTGTTTGAGAGCCAGTACTGACTAAGCAAAGCAGTGAGATGCCTGGGTGGACATCCAGGCTCCGACCGTTACATGGCCGTGTAGCCCAAGACCTAGCTGGGCCTCACTTTCTTCATTTGTAAAATGGCGTGGACTGAACCTTCTTCATGAAGATTAAATGAGTTGCCCTGGCTGGTTTGGCTCAGCGGTTAGAGTGTTGGCCCATGGACCAATGAGTCTCGGGTTTGATTCTGGCCTTGGCTTGGTTGTGCGGGAGGCAACCAGTTGTGTCCCTCTCACATTGATGTTTCTCTCTCTCTTTCCCTCTCTATCTGAAGATAAATAAAAAAAATCCTTGACTGAGGATTAAAAAAAAGGTTAAACGAGTTAAAATATAAAAGCTAGTAACATAATGTGCTCAATAAATTGTATTTATTATTACATTATTATCTTATTATAATTATAATAATATCTTCTTTCTAATTCCTTCTAAGAACTATTGTTTTTAACCCCATGAATCCATTTATCGGGGAACAGGAAGCCTTCCCACTTTGTGGAAAGAGGACACCTACTTCTGGGTCGGCAAACACACACGCACCAGGAAACCCCGTCACCCTCAACTTACAGAAGGTCTTATAGCTCTTTGCTGAAGGAATGTCCAGACTCACCAGGAAACTGGCTCCGATCCGTAAGGCCCCAGTTCCAGAAATGGTTTGCACGGTGACATACTGAAGGAGAGACACCCACATCAGTGAGGAGCACCATTCTCTTACCTCAACAAAACAGCGGTCAAGAGCACAGAGGCTGACCACAATGGCCCAAATAAGTATTTGGAAATGAGAGAACAGTACTGTTTCATTTTCCAATTTGCTAAGCAACAGATTGACTCGACTCTCCTCATTGGTTCCAATACCTTTGCTGGTGCAGAAATGAATTCCTTATGGCCTGTTAGTAGTATAGTCCTGTGTTACATGAGAAACTTTCAGGACACAAAATCCCACCTCCCCAGTGAAAAAGGAGTGGTTTATCCAGAAGAAAAAAACATTAAGAACAGTCACTACATTAAAACATTATTGTAGTCCTGGCTGGTTTGGCTCGGAGGTTGGAGCATCAGCCCACAGACCAGAGTCCCGGGTTTGGTTCCTGCTAGGGGCGTGTGCCTCAGTTGCGGTTCCTCCTCCACCCCAACTTGTGGGTGGTAACCAGTCGATGTGTCTCTCTCTCTTCCTCCCTCTCTCCCTCCCGCTGTATCTGAAGATAAATGCAAAAATGCCCTTGGGTGAAAATAAAAACAAAACAAAACAAACAAACAAGCAAACAGAACACATTATTGTAGAATTATACAAAATTGAATGACTCTCCAAAATCAAAGTTTCTTGAAAATCAAGTCAACAAGTACATTAGAACATTACCACATATTTAAAAAATAATTTTTCCCCTTTTACTGATTTTAGAGAGAGGAAGGGAGAGGGAGAGAGAAAAACATCGATGAGAAAGAACATCGACTGGCCACCTCCTGCATGCCCCCCAATGGGGATCAGGCCCACAATCTGGGCATGTGTCCTGACCAGGAATCGAACCAGTGATCTCTTGGTGCATGGGTTGATGCTCAACCACTGAGCCACAGTGGCCAGACACATTATCACATATTAAGTGTTATTTATTTAAGGGGCTCCTTTTATGAGTTTTCAGAATCTGAAATATTCATCTTTTGGGTAGATGCATGAGTATATCTGTTTCTTCGAATTAGCCAACTTTATGAGATGAGTAAGGAACCATGGTAGGTTTTTTTTTGTTTCTTAAGGCACCATTGAAGCAAGACTGTACAACATATCAACCTATTTTCTGGATTGGCAGACACTGGATTAAATGGGAGGAACTCAACTAACAAACTCTTTACTAAGCAAAGTTTGTGTCTGCAAACTCTGGCATGCTAGAAATAGAAACCTGGCTGTAGATCTGACAATACTAATGATCCACAAAGGCACAGCAATTTGTAAAAGACAAGCTGGTATTATTTTAAGATAGGGCAGTCTCGTATTTAGGTAATAATTGACTAGATGTACACAGACTAAGCAAAAATTACAGAACCCCCTCCCCCACCGAAGTTTTCATGAGGGGTTAACAAGTGGTTGACTGTATGGATATCAGTCAAACCATATTCTGTCCATGACTTATGGTCATTACTGCATCACCATCAGGTCAAGGTTGTATGCTTTTCTCTGAGTCAATGAACTAACCCCTGGACTTAGACCAGTCTTGTAAATAAAATGTATTTATTCTGGCCTTGGAGGGGTGGAGAGGGGATAACTGTTGGTTTAGTTTTGTTACTTTGTGTGTTTTCCCCAGATTTACACAGAAAAAAATATTAAACATACAAATGTATCCATTAAAAATAGACTTGTTTCTAAAGAAAGTAAACTATAATGCATGTGAACCCTTGTGTCAGGGGGGTTGTTTGGTGGCCTGGCTGCATCCCACTGGCAGGATGCTAGTCTTCTACTATAACTGTGACCTGCATATACTCTGTGGGTGCATGCAGGAGTCTGCAAAAAAAGCTTAGGGCCTTTCAGGCCATCTCTCTTCCACAAGAAGAGCCTCCCCACCACCCCTGCTGGGAGGTGGAAGGAGAAGACAACTAAGGGGCACTTGTGCTCCCCACTCATGGCTGCAGTGATGCTCTGTGGACCTCTGAGGGAGGCAGCAGGCAGGGAGCGTGGTCTGCTCTCTTCCAGTGTCCAAACTGGCTGTGAAGGAACAGCAGAGAGCACCGGGCTGGTCCCAGCCACAACAGTCTGCCTGTGGCTTGCTTCCTGCCTGCTTCCTCCATCTAAACTGGAAGCTTAGGACATGAGAGTGGGGGCTAATTATAGGCCTGAAACTAGACATAGTTTAGTGTTTCTAAAGCATATTTAATATAAAATGAACATAAGTGCATAGAGACTAACAGGAAAGCTGTGTCAAACCTATCAAATTATGAATACATTTTTGGAATTGGTGTTAAAAAACTTTTTTTTTATTTTAGCAAAAGTGCGGCCACTTCAAAACAGTCACCATACACAAAGTGGTGTATCTTTTTTTAAATTTGTTTTAAATTGTTTAAATTATCTCAAATTTGTTTAAATTACTAAATTTAAAAACAGACACTGTATGATGCCAGAGCCTGTTCTGCTTACCCGGCCACTTTTCAGTACTTCGCTGTTCTCGCCCAGGGCGAGTTCTGCAGATGCCTTACAAAACTCAGCCAGTCCCCCAATGGGCAGGTATTCTTTGTCCAGATTTTTTGCAGCGATCTGGGCCTCTGCCTAGATAAGATAAAAATGCATTAATTTAGCTTCTTCTCACTTTGATTAAAATAGGGTGGGGCAAAAGTAGACTTGCAGTTGTTCATATGGAAAATAATAAAATAATTAATAAATAATATAAGAATAAACTATTTCTAGAACTCACAACTGTAAACCTACTTTTGCTCTACCCTGTATTTAATGTTTTATAATTCAATTTTGGAGGTAAAGCCTTATTTCTCTCTCTCTCTCTCTCTCTCTCTTTCTCTCTCTCTCTGTGTGTGTGTGTGTGTGTGTGTGTGTTTATTTATTTATTTATTTATTTTTTTATGCTCATCCGAGGACATTTTTGTATTTACCTTCAGATAGAGCAGGAGGAGAGAAGAGGGAAGAGAGAGAAACATTGATGTGAGAGAGACACATCGACTGGTTGCCACCCACACAACCCCAACCAGGGCCGGGGACAAACTGCAACCTAGGTATGTGCCATTAGCGGGAACCAAACCCGGGACTCACTGGTCCACAGGCTGACACTCTAACCACTGAGCCAAACCGGCCAGGGCTGTGTGTGTGTGTTTAAATTGATTTGAGAGGGAGAAGGAGAGATTGAAACATAGATAAAAGAGAAACATCAATAGGCTGCCTCCTGCAAGCCCTACACTGGGGATCAAGCCCGAAACCTGGGCATGTGTCCTGACCAGAAATTGAACTGGTGACCTCCTGGTGCATGGGACAATGCTCAACCAACTGAGCCACATTGGCCAGGCTAGCCTTGGTTTTTTTTCCCCCCCCTTTATTGATTTTAGAGAGAGAGGAAGGGAGAGGGAGCAAGAGAGCTAGAAACATAGATGAGAGAGAACATCGACTGGCCGTCTCCTGCATGCCCCCCACTGGGGATTTGGCCCACAACCTGGGCATGTGTCCTGACCAGGAATTGAACTGGCGATCTCTTGGTGCTTGGGTTGATGCTCAAGCACTGAGCCACATTGGCTGGGCAACCTTGTTTTTTTATTGGGAGATATTGGCCTGGAAGAAGAATAAGTAGAATGCTTTATATATTATATTTCAGAGCAAAAATATTTAATTTTTTAAAAGTTCAGTTTTAGGTAGATGAGGTAAGAGTAAAGCACTCTAACCCCAAAGTATTCTACAAATGCCACTCATGGTGCCTGTCTCTTGGTTACCATTTAACACAAAATGGCATTTTTGGAATGCACAAGAACAAGATTTAAGAACAACATTTAAGGCCTGGCCAGTGTGGCTCAGGGGGTTGAGCATCGTCCCATGAGTCCATGTCTCGGTTCAATTCCTGGTCAGGGTACATACCCAGTAGAAGGTGTGCACGAGGCAGCCGATCGATGGTTCTCTCTCACATTGATGTTTCTATCTCCCTCCCCCTTCCTCCCTCTCTAAAAAATAAAAACATAAAAAAAAGAACAACATTTAAAAGATATAACATAATAAAAATCACACTATACACACAAAAAAGAAGTATTTCAGGGTATATGCCAGTCCCAGAACCTCAAAGGGTTAATAGTAATAGACATGTCTTCATGTCCCTTAGTAGCTGTTGACCCTTGGTGAATTATTAACCTTTCTGAGTCTCAGTTTCCTCATCTGTTAAATGGGAGAACTGTTTCTATACCTCATATGGTTGAGGTGAAGAGCTGATGAGTTGATATACTAAGGTGAGTGGTGGAGTTGCAGCTTACAACAACAGCTAACACTTGCTGAATACTTTAAATTGATTTATTGACACCAAAGCAACCCCTGTTTCTTGAGTCCTTTTTGCTACTTAGAGACTTGTAGAGATGATACCTAATATGCAAGGCTGTATTATCAGAAATTTCTCCTTTCAGTTGTTCAATCAGCCCATGCCCTATTACTGCAGCGGCGCACGAGGGCCTGAGCCAGTCTGCTGCACAGTGATGAGAGTTTTTTACTCTTACCCCAAAGTATTCTAACACTGCCACTCATGGTGCCTGGCTCAGCAGTATGGAGGAATGATAGCCACCTCACCACCCCACTTTGGAAGTGGCACAGCGGCACATTCATATTTCATCAGAGGAGGGCCGAATGCAAAGAAAGACATACTTTCTTTTTTCTTTTTGATAATCCTCATCCAAGGATATTTTTCCATTGATTCTTTAGACAGAGTAGAAGGAAGGAAGGGAGAGAGAGGGAGAGAGGGGGAAGGGGGAGGGAGGGGGAGAGGGAGGGGGAGAGAGAGAGAGAGAGAAAGAGAGAGAGAGAGAAAGAGAAACATGGATGTGAGACACATCAATTGGTTGACTCCTGCACAATTCCGACCGGGGCGGGGGATTGAATCTGCAACCCAGGTACGTGCCTTTGACTGGGAATTGAACCTGCGACTCTTCAGTCTTTGGGCCAATGCTCAAGCTGTGGAGCCAAACTGGCCAGGGCAAGACACTTTCCTTAAAAAAAAAAAACCTGTTCTTAGGGCATTAGTTAAATTATAGTTATAATAACAAATAGAAAGACTACTAATAAATATGCAAAAAAAAAAGAAAATTAATCCTGGCCAGTTTTGCTCAGTGGTTAGAGCGTTGGCTCATGGACCAAAGGGTCTTGGGATTCGATTCCTGGTCAAGGGCACATATCTGGGTTGCAGGTTCGACCCCCAGCCTGATTCGGGGTCATGTGGGAGGCAACCAATTGATGTGTTGCTCTCACATCGATGGTTCTCCCCTTCTTCACTCTTTCTAAAAATTAATGGAAAATATCCTCGGATAAAGATTAACAACAACAACAAAATTCTATAGTTCAATAGGAAAAGGACAGAGCCAGAGCATGTCTGTGTAGGCAGGTGGGCTTTACTAAGGCAATCAACATTAAAGAAATGGAAAATAACAAAAGTAACCCTCATCCACAAAGGCCTATTCCTATTATCAAGAGACAATGTTGAAATTAAATTCTTGGTCCTTTTGTGTACCGTCAGAATTAAACATGACATTATGCCTCTTTTATAGACAATCACAGAAGTTCAATCTGGGAAAAGACCATGCAGTTCCAACGGTTCATTTTATAGCCAAGGAGACTGCAGCCCAGACAACCTAAGTGATTCAAGCAGTTAGTCTCTTGACTCCTGGTCCAGCAGTCTTTCTGCTGCTCTCTGGGAGCTCCCTCCAGCTTATTATCCCAGTCAGGTAGGAGACGGACGGTACGCTCACCTTCCGGATACTCGGGAGCACGTAAGGCTTTCCATTGTCGTCCCGGTAGGCACCAACTCCCAGATTCATCTTTTTGCTGTTGGTGTCTCTTTTAAAGGCTTCTGTGACTCCCAGGATGGGATCTGGGGGCCCCATCTCCACATGGGCCCACCAGGAGCTGAAATCAGTTACAGAAACAAGATTTCCATGGCCAGAGAGAGACATCTTGGATCTGCCACAAATCCATTTCAACAAACAGCTGCATGTTTACTATGCACAGGGTAAAGCAACAGGCACCTCACAGAGGAGTAGAGAAAACCAATAATTCCAATACAATTCCTATGAGCAGCAGAAAGGGGCACCTCCCCAAATCACCTTGGGGAGGACAAGATGCACGTGTAGGCTGTGAAAACAGTCCGAACCTGACCGGAATTCCCAGGCAAAGACTATTTCAAGTAATTTGGCAGTGAGAAGCTGAGAGTGGTAAAAGATGAAACTAGAGAAGCAAGCAAGGGACAGTGGAGTAAGATAATGTGACAACTCTCCCCCACCTCCCACCCCAAGGGGCTTGGGTTTTTATCCTTGTTAAGGGACACATTTGGCGAGCTTGTTAAAAATAGTTTTCTGGGCCCCACCTTGGATGTAATGAAAATATGTAGGATCACTTTTTTTTTTTTTTTTGTGGGGGAGGGTAAGGGTGATCAGGTAAGGGGAGTGACATGAATATACCTGCATTTTTAGAGGTGGTCTATAAAATGAGGGCACAACAATATCTACCTCACAGGGTTTTTGTAAGAATAAAGGAGTTATTAACTACAAAACAGAATAGAGCCTGGTACAGAGTGAGTACTTGATTTAGCTGGTATTGCCATTACTAAATTATCACACTCTACTGTTATTTATAACCACCACACCACTAGTATGAAGCCTAGTGAGGAAAGTATGTAGATAATTCAAGGAGTGCACAGTCATAAGTTTTTATGACCAAATACAGGTCTTTCCTGCTTTTCAATGATTACTATTTAGTTTTTTCGAGAGCCGAGGGAGATATTATCATTCTTCCTCCTCAATAGTTCTACCGCCAGAACTCAAAATCTCTCTCTCTCTCATTTTTCATTGTTCTAGCTTCCTGGTTGTTCCAATATCTCAGCAGTAGCAAGAAACAGACACCTCGAAGCAACTTCAGAACTGGGCCTGAAGAAAGCTTTTTTATTTCAGTGTCTGGTAACATGTAGCCACCTGACTATCTATATCAGTGTCATTAGCTGATGAGTAAAAAGAATACTCTGAATGTCAAGGACATATGACAGAGAACTTCTAGTAAGCAATTTTCATTTTTAAAAAGATGGCTCTGTCTCCAAAGTCATCAATCAATGATGGCAGAGCCGTTGCCCCTAACCACAAGGGCAGGAGGCACCCTTGTTAAATGGTGGGAAGAGCACTTATTAGTCATGTTCATTAAAAAGTTTATTTGGCATAGAAATTCTCTCAGAAACAGTCTTGAGTCTTCTGGCGGAGATATAACTGAGAGTAGTATCTTTTAAGAAGAATTCTAAAAGCAATTTGAAAAAACTAAATCTTCAAAATCTAAATATAGAAGCAGGGATACTCTGATGAGTCCTACATTTGTGATCATGTTCAGGTCCTCCATGCCCTTCGTTATTCCATTCCTTAGAAGGGTACAGAGTCTCTGCCACATTGTAAGAACTCTGAGTTTTTAAAACATGTTTTTATTGATTTTAGAGAGAGAGGAAGGGAGAGGGAGAGAGAGAGAGAGAGAAACACTGATGAGAGAGAAACATTGATCGGCTGTCTCCTGCACACCCGCTGCTGGGGATCGAACCTGAAACCTGTGCGTATGCCCTAACCAAGCATTGAACCAGCAACCCCTTGGTGCATGGGTCGATTCTCTGATGTTTTTTAAGAAACGGTACTAGATAAAAACAAGAGTACGCTAGGGACAAAGTTGATGCAGACAACCAGTGTCCTACAAAGTGATTCCTCTCAATGAACTTTGGACATAAGCTCAAAGCCTCAGCCATTGAGCAATACTGACCAGACAACCAAAAGATGTTAGGTACAAAGTATTCACCGGTCGGCGGGCCGAGGCTCAAACCGCTGAGCCAAACTGGCAAGGGCTGGTACAAAGTATTTAGATAAGCATTTAATTCAAATGCCTTGCAGTTTCCTTGGGAGCCTACCTAGTAATTTATAGTTTTTAAAATGTTCTCCCTCACATTCTTATTTTATAATGAGAGGTTAATTAACTTGCTCATGATCACAGAGCTAAAAACAGCAACAAAATACTACAATTCTGAGTCATGGGGATGTAAAGTACAGCATAGGGAACATAGTCAATAATATTGTAATGACTGTGTATGGTGTCAGGTGGGTACTAGACTTACTGGGGGGGATCACTTAATAAGTTATATAGTTCCGGTCAAGATGGCGGCGTAGGGAAACGCAGTATCGCGTTCTCCCACAACCACATCCAAGTTACAACAAAACTACAGAACAACCATCATCCAAAACCGCCTGAAATCAAGCTGAATGGAAGTCCTACAACTACGGAATTAAAAAAAAAGGCAGCTACATCCAGACTGGTAGGAGGGGCGGCGGAGCGAGGGGTGGCGGCAGCGGCACGGCGGCGCGACGGGCTGGTCCCACACCCAAGTGTGGCGGATAAAAATCAGGAGGCTCCCGAGGCTGGGAAGGTCCTTCCTGAGGACTGAGGGGTCCCCGTCCCACACCAGGTGCCCCGCTCAGGTTTCCAGTGCCAGGAAGAGAAGTCCCCATAACTTCTGGCTGGAAAAACCAGCAGAAACTGAGGCTCAGGGAAGCTGACCTGGCTGGAGCCACAGGCAGCTCCCTAAAGGGCCCGCGCACAGACTGGTCGGACTCTCTCCCTCTAAGCTCGGAGGGGAGGCAGCTCCAGGGGCACCAGAGAAATACAGGGAGGAACTGAGCTGTTTGGCACTGGAGCAAGGGCTGGAGAGGGGGCTTTCTCGGGGACAAACGTGCTGTCAGAGGCCTTTGTTCCTTTGGTGAGCCCTTCCCTGGGGCGGCAGACAGTCGCCATATCTGGGACTCCAGCAACCTGGCTCACACTGGTAGCCCCGCCCTGCTGACTCCCTGAGGCCCCGCCCCACCCAACTTTCAGGCCCACCCAAGCTGTTGCTACTTGCTTAACCATAGGATTGGCCTGTCTTGGGTCCTGCTTCAGGTTTTTCCTAAATTCTTTCAAACGAGCAGCATCGGGTCTCAGCGAGCCCCATACCTCTCATTAAGTAATACACAGAAACAAACACAGGAAGGCAGCAAAATGAGGATACAAAGAAACAGGTCCCAAATGAAAGAACAGAACAAAACCCCAAGAAAAGAACTAAGCGAAATGGAGATAAGCAACTTAACAGATGCTGAGTTCAAAATACTGCTTATAAGGATGCTCAATGAACTCAGTGAGGGCCTCAAGAGCATAAAAAAGTACCAGTCAGAAACGATCGCTGCACAGTTAGAAACGAAGGAGGCTTTAACTGAAATAAAGAATAATTTACATAGCTTCAATAATAGAGTACGTAAATCCAAGGAGCAAACCATCGATTTGGAATATAAGGAAGCAAAAAACGCCCAACCAGAACAGCAAAAAGAAAAAAGAATCCAAAAAAATGAGGATAGTATAAGGAGCCTCTGGGACAACTTCAAGCGTGCCAACATTCGCATCTTGGGGGTGCCGGAAGGAGAAGAGAGAGAACAAGAAATCGAAAACCTGTTTGAAACAATAATGGCAGAAAACTTTCCTAACTTGGTGAAGGAAACAGACATACAAGTCCAGGAAGCACAGAGAGTCCCAAAAAAGATGAACCCCAAGAGGCCCACACCAAGACACATCATCATCAAAATGCAAAAGGTTCAAGACAAAGAGAGAATCCTAAAAGCAGCAAGAGAAAGGCAGCTAGTTACCTACAAGGGAGTTCCCATTAGGCTGTCAGCTGATTTCTCAAAAGAAACTTTGCAGGCCAGAAGGGAGTGGCAAGAAATATTCAGAGTGATGAAAACCAAGAACCTACAACCAAAATTACTCTATCCTGCAAAGCTGTCATTTAGAATCGATGGACATATAAAAACTTTCCCAGACAAGAAAAAGTTAAAGGAGTTCATCACTACCAAACCGTTATTATATGAAATGATGAAGGGTCTTTTTAAAGAAAAAGATAAAATGTAGGAACAAACAAAATGGCAATGAATACATATCTATCAACAATGGAATCTACAAACAAAATGAACAGGAAGAACAGGAACATTCTCATAGATACAGAGAATATTTTGTTGGTTGCCAGTTGGGAAAGGGGTTGGGGGAATGGATGAAAAAGGTGAAGGGATTAAGAAGCACAAATTCATTGCTAGACTGACAAACCTCAAAGGGAAAGGGGTTGGGGGGGTGGGAAGAAATAAACCAAAGAACTTATATGCATAACCAATGGACACGGACAATAGTATGGGAAAAGGTGGGAGGGGGGCGGGAGTGGGGAGGAGGGGGTCAATGGGGGAATTCTTTTAATAAAAAAATTTTAAAAAAAAAAAAATAAATAAAAAAAAAAATAAATAAAAAAAAAAAACAAAAAAAAAATAAGTTATATAAATGTCTAACCACTATGCTATACACCTGAAACTAATATAATATTGAATGCCCAATGTAACTGAAAAAACAAAAACAAAACAAAACCCCACACCTTCCAATTCTGATGTTTTAACTACTGGTTTTTGTATCACTATTGCACACTGCCTTTCCAAATGGTCTCATGATACTCCTTCAGTTATTTCACTAAAAATTAAACAACCAGAATTAAATACATCAACATATTTTTTTCACTGATCTATGACTGTCTAATTTAATGTCACTATGCTTTTATAGTACAGTACAAGAAAAGGTTAAATGTTTACTGCTGTTTTTATTTTTATTTTTTATTTATTTATTTTTATCCTCACCAGAGGACATTCCTCCATTTTTTTGTTTAGATAGAGTGGAAGGGAAAGAGAGGAAGAGAGAGAGAAACATTGACATGAAAGGGACACATCGAGTGGCTGCAACCTGCACGACCCAACCAGTGCCAGGGACAAACTGCAACCAAGGTACATGCCCTCAGTGGGAACCAAACCCGGGTCTCTCAAGACCACAGGTCGACACTCTAATCGCTGAGCCAAATGGGCCAGGGCGTTTACTGCTGTTTTATAATTACAGCTAAATGAAACACTTGAACTTAAGACTTCCATTTAAATGACCCTTAGGTCATTTAGGACTTCGTAGGATAAACCCTCACTTTGTGGGAATACCAACTGCCAGAGCTTTATTGTATCAGAATGAACTTTTTTTTTTTATCCTCACCCGAGGATATTTTTCCATTTTTTGTACAGATAGAGTGGGAGGGAGAGAGAGGAAGGGGAAGAGAGAGGAAGGGAGAGAGAGAGAGAGAAACATCGACGTGAAGGAACACATCGAGCGGCCGCCACCCGCACGACCAACCAGGGCCGGGGACAAACTGCAACCGAAGTACGTGCCCTTAGCGGGAACCGAACCCGGGTCTCTCCGGACCGCAGGCTGACGCTCTAACCGCTGAGCCAAACTGGCCAGGGCTGAAATTTTTTTTTTTAAGACAAACTTCAATTAGTTATTTTATTTTTTAAATTTATTTATTGATTTTTAGGGAGAGAGGGAGATATAGAGAGACAGATAAACACTGATTTGTTGCTCCACTTTTTCACATACTCATTGGTTGCTTCTTACATGTGCCTGACCTAGAATCAAAACTGCAACCATGGCACATTAGGATGGTGCTCCAACCAACTGAGCTATCTGGCCAGGGCCAAGACTATTTAAAAAAATTTTTTTTCTTTATTAATTTTGAGAGAGAGAGGAAGGGAGAGGGAGAGAGACAGACACATCGATAAGAGAGAACATTGGCCACCTCCTGCATGCCTCCTATTGGGGATATGGCCCACAACTTGGGCATGTGTCCTGACTGGGAATCAAACCAGCAACCTCTTGGTGCATGGGTCAATGCTCAACCACTGAGCCACACTGGCTGGGACCAAGACTATTTTTTTTTAAACACAGTTTGCAACCACAGTTTTCCTATATGTTTAGACTTTGATCTAAGATATAATATTAAACTATCATATTTGAGTCTATTGCATTGATTTAAAAAAATCAATGTTTAAAATAAAAATATTAAATTTGAAAGACACGTAGGCACTGTTCTAAGTGCTGAGATTTAGCAGTTAACAAAGTAGGTGTGGTCTCTGCTTTCATGGAATTTATATTCTAATGGAGAAAAGACAGAAAAGAACGGAGAATCAGGCTCCCAAACTGAAAGCATGACCGAAAGGTCACACCCATAGGGATTTTCACCAAGCACTGTAAATAGAACTGCAGACCATCTGGCCAAATTCATAAAACAAGGGATCATTTTAAAGTTACTACAGCGGTGAAACCAACTTTGTCTTGTCCATAATTTTAGGCACCTCTCTCTGTTCTCCAAATTTGCTGCATAAATGATAATAACCGCTCCCTAATTCTGGTCCAGTAGGTAGGCCGACTTAAAGAGCACATCTGACGGTGAGTCAGGAAGGAACCAAATCAAGGAGTTAGGAAAGTGTGAAAGCCTGGGAGAAACTATTGCCAAGAGTACAGCACTTTGTAAAGGACAAACTGTTCTGCTGGTTTGAAGACATCCTACAACATTCAAAGGAAAGGCCAAGGCATGGAAAAGAGGTCAAGGCTTTGAGAGCTGGAGTTAATATCTGGTTATGGTGGTTTGGAGACTCCACTCCTGATTAGGTAGCACTTAAGGACACTGTCCCCAATCAGCTTCTTTTTTTTTTTTATCCTCACCGGAGGACATTTTTCCATTTCTTGTTCAGATAGAGTGGGAGGGGGAGAGAGAGAGAGAGAGAGAAACATAAACATGAAAGGGACACATTGAGTGGTTGCCACCCGCACAACCCAACCAGGGCCAGGGACAAACTGCAACCGAGGTACATGCCCTTAGCAGGAACCAAACCCGGGTCTCTCTGGACCGCAGGCTGATGCTCTAACCGCTCAGCAAAACCGGCCAGGGCCCAAAAAGCTTCTTGAGTAAATTAAGTCGCCTGGCTCAGGTGTCCACTAGGAGGGAATTACTAATTCATTTAATGCGCCATACTTTTTCTCTGACACTTATTACACAGTTTTGAATGATATACGGGGTGGGGCAAAAGTAGGTTTACATTTGTTCCTATGGAAAATAATACACTAACAAATAATACAAGAACAAATTCTGTTTCCTGTATTCACAACTGTAAACCTACTTTTGCCCCATCCTGTAATTGTAATTTCCTGAGTGACACCTCTCTCAGGCTTGTTCACCGCTGTGTCTCTCACCAGCATCTGGTCCAGCGCCTGGCTCTGGAAACTCGGGTGACGAAATATTGACTAATGAAAGAAGAGAGTAAGATGGGAGAGAAAGATCGGCCACTCCCCTCCAGCCAGACCGCCTAAGGGCTTAAAGGAAAGAGGTGCACTACATACACGCGGACCCTTCTCCATCCAAAGGCCAAACGGCGGAGGGGTGTGTGTGTGTCACGGGTGACTCAGGCAGTAGCACCGGCCAGAGGATGCCGTGCGCCAAGGTCACAGGATGCAGAGAGGATAGCCAGGTCTGAATGCCAGGGTCCCGGGAACCTTCCTCCCATGCGCTTCCTTCTCCCCTGCACACAAACTGCAGCCAGACGCCAGCGGCCAAGCCCTCTCCTGCCAGAGGGAAGCTGCGACAGGTGAGCCCTGCACCCCACCAGGGTAGCCTGTCAAGGGCACACGCGTGGGGCACGCGGTCCCCCTAGCCGCAGCCAATGGGGCGCGAGGCAGCCCTGACCCCGCAGCCAATGGGCACGAGGTCCCCTCCCCCCGGCATCGAATCTGCGCCTCGTGACACCTCCTTGAATGGGAGTCTGGCTGCCGTAGAGGGCCACACTTCCTAACCCAAGGGAACGCGTTGGCACACTCTCCTGCGGTCCGGGGAGAGGGGAGGGGAGGGGAAGGGAAGGATGTAGGACCCCGAGGGTCATTGTAAGGCGCGGCCATCAATCCGAGAACGTGTGCGTAAGCGTGTTTGCGGTGTCCGTGGCTCCGGGGGCAGGCCCATCTTCCTGGCTCCGTCTCCCACAGCTTACCTGGCTCGCGCAGATGCCACAGCCGCGAGGCCTGGGTGGAAGGCGGCGGCGACCCCGGACAGGACGCGGGTGGAGTGCAGCAGGGCCATGGTGGGCGGCAAGCGGGCAGTGGGTAGCTGCAGGACGGAGCGGAGGCCGGCAGGCACAGACTCCAAGGCGCGGGCTCCTGCAGAAGGTAAGGCCAGCGACTTCCCCGGGGAGGCTAGAGCTGCCAGGCCCGAGCCGCGTCACAGCGGACCCTGGCGGCCGGAGCCAGCGGCTGGGCGGGAGCGGAGCCTCGGTCCGCAAGCCCGAGTCTGCACCGCGGGGCCACGTGGTTCCGGAAAGCGGTGACGACACTGCTGGTCGCCTTTGCAGCGCCTGACACGCCTCACTTATTTAGTCACCACGGGCCGCGTGGAAGCGGTAGCAGCTATGACACCATTTGGAAAGATGGGAAAATGTAGGCTGATGTAGGTAAAGTAATTTGCCTGATCATAAAGCCAGTAACGAGGTGGCCGACCCTAAATCTTCAGCCAGATGCTTCCCTAAGTGCAAGTCACCTCGCCTTCATGAATGTTTCCTTATCTCTGCTGTGAAGGTAACATTCCTGTCTCCTGTGGGCACTTCTGTGGATTAGGTGAGATTAGCCGATTATGTCTAAAAACAGGGCCAGGTTTAATAAGCACAAAATAATAACCCGTGGTTATTAATGACAAAGCTGCGTTTGTCAAATCATTGCAGTTGTTTGTGGAAAGGAGTTAATTACTTTTATTTTTTGAATTGATTTTTTTAGAGAGAAACTCCATCCGGCTGCCTCTTGCACGCCCCCTGCTGGGAATCGAGTCTGCAACCTGGGCATGTGCCCCGCCGGAATCCAACCGGGACCTCTCAATCCATGGGAGACGCTCGGCCCACTGAGCCACACTGGCTGAGCAGGAGTTAATTACTTTGAAAGAAAAAAGTAAATGAATTTGAGAGTCTCGAAGTTGAATAATTCAAACAAATAACGGCCATGCCACTCTAAACAACTACCATTTCTCTGACAACCCCAAATAGAGCCCAGCTGGTGTGGCTCAGTGGTTGAGCATCCACCCATGCACTAAGAGGTCACCAGTTCGATTCCCGGCAGGGCACATGCTCAGGTTGTGGGCCCAGTCCCCAGTGGAGGGCATGCAGGAGGCGGCCAATCGATGTTCTCTCTCATTGATGTTTCTATCTCTCTCTCCTTTCCTCTCTCTAAAATCAATGAAGAAAATATTTAATTTAAATTAATATAATTAATACATTAATATAAATTTAATATATTAATATAAATTTTCTACAAATTACCACAAACTAGATGGTTTAAAACAACAAAAATTTCTTCTTTCACAGTTCTGGAGTCCAAAGTCCAAGATCAAAATGTCTGCAGGGTTCATCCCTTCTGGTGTCTCTGAGACAAACTCTGTTCCAGGCCTCTCTTCGAGTTTCTGGCAGTTGCCAGCCGTCCTTGGCAGTTCTTTGGTTTGTTGACACATCACTCCAGTCTCTGCCTCCATCTTCAATGGTGTTCTCTCCCTGTGTGTGTCTCTTCTCTTCTTTTTTAAAATCTTCACCTGAGGACCTGTTTATTGACTTTTAGAGAGAGGGAGGGAGTGAGGGAGAGAGAGAAAGAGAGAGAAAGGGGGTGAGAGAAGGAGAGAGAAATATTGATGTGAGAGAAACATCAGTCGGTTGCCTCTTGTATGTGCCCTGATCGGGGATCGAACCTGCAACCTATGTTTACTGAAAGGAAATTGCACCTGTGAGGGCATGTCTTTTCTCTTATAAGGACACCAGTCATATTAGATTAGGGCCTGCCTTAGTGGTTTCACCTTAATTTGATTACATCTGCAAAGCCTCTCCTTACAAATAGGTCACATTCATAGGTACCTGGGGTTAAAACTTAAACATATCTTTTTGGGGAGATGCATTTCAATCCATAATAGCTGCTGTCCTCAAGACCTAACAATTATACTTCCAGGTATAGACCCTAGAGACTTCACACATGTATAAGGATGTTAGTGAAGCATTGTTTATAAAAGCAAAACATAGGAGCAACTTATTGTCCATAAGGGAAACAGATAGATGTGCTGTTAGAATCATGTGATGGAGCATTGTAGAGCTATGGACATGAATGAACTCACTTTCTAGGTGTCAACATGGATAGACCTCAAAAACAATAAAAGCAAGTTGCAGATGTATAGGTATAATATGGCATGATTTAGATACAATTTAAAAATACACAGAACCATACCATACATTCACTCATAAAGGCATGTAAGAGTCTGAAAAAATATACCAGGGGTACAGTTCAGTATGGGATCAGGAGGGCATGAGAGGGTGTTTGCCATTGTGGAGCGAATGACACAACTTTGTCATATTTGCTTCATAAAAATTGCAGAGATATTAACACATCACCATTCTGGGTGTGAGTATTTGTTATATTGATCTCTATAATGTACATATTTAACTTTCCCATAAGAAAGCTAATTTGAATTACTGCTTTGAAAGATGGAAAGGACAAGCCTAGGAGGTAAGGAGACTAGGCAGAAGGAAGGCTGACACAGTAATCTGGGCACGAAATTCTGATGGTTGGAATTCAGGTAGAAGTAGCAGTGTTGGAGAAAAGATTAAAGACCTGGAACATATCAAGGAGGTAGAATCCAAAGGGTTTAGTGATTAGATGCAGGGAGAAATGGAAAAGGAGCCAGAAATAATTCTCACTGTCTCAGTTAAAGCTGGGGTTGCCTGCAAGTAACAGAGACCCCAATTAATTGGTTTAACCCAAATCAAATTTTTTTCTCTCACATAAAAATCTGAAGATAGGCCCTCTAGGGCTGGCATGGCATTTCTGCCCCACAAAATCCTCATGGGCCCAGGTTCTTCCAGCTTGTGACTCTGCCCTCCCTGAAGTGTGGCCCTCACCCAGTGGTCCAAGATGGTAGCCACAACTTCAGCCACCATGTCTCCTTTCTGGGAAAGAGTCTATAGGAAGGGGCAAAAGATAAAGTGCAAAGGATATACACTAGCCATCTTTTAAGGGAATGGTAGTGAGAGGAGGCAAAATGTGGCAAAGATCAGATAAAGGAGGGAGAGCCAGGGATGGCACAGGAGGGAGGACTTGGTGCTCCTGTGGGAAATCGGGGAGGCTCTCATGCGGGAGATGGCATTTGATCTGAACTTTGCAGGACATATGGTCTTTCGTAGGTAAAGGAGGAAGGTAGGAAAACTCATGGCTCATGCCCCTCCTTGCTGTCTCCCTTGTCTTTGCTGCTCCTGCTTTTTGTCTATGGAGTGCGTACATGTGTACTGGGAGTGAATGTGTTTGAATATGACCTTGTTGTGTTTTGCATTTTTGTGCATATGTGGAAGCCAGTGAATGGTGTGTGTCTCCATGCAGATGTCTAGGTGTGTGCCTGTTTGCATATGGGTACCCTGTATGTGGGAGTGGTGGGGAGTGGATGTATGCCAGCTTCCAAATCCATCTAACCCATCTGAGGAGAAGCCCCGTGGCCTCCTGTCCCTGAAAAGGACAGAGGAGGCTGGCTGAGCCAGGGTAAGGGAGGCTGGGCTGCCTCAGTGCCTTGGGTGGGGAGGAGATGGTGCTGGCTGAGAGGGCTGCTCTCATCTGAAGAGGCAGCCCTTTGGACTGACCAGGGCCTTTTGTATCCCCACAGGCCTTGTCCTCCACACCCAGAGAAATGCAGAGCCTTAGAAGAAGAGCTTGGGGGAATTCTGAGGGTAGATGCTGCCCACCACAGTCAGGAGGCAGGAGGGGACAGTTTCTGGTGACTCAGAGCATCTCCCAAGGCCCCAAAGAACATACAGGTCTCTCCCCCTGGCTCATAGAGTATCTTCAAACACTTTTTTGTATACATGAAACTACTCTGGAAAAGTACACCCACCTGCTTCTACCTGATAATTATAAGGATTTTAATAAATGATTAAAAAATACTTTATTAATGGTGTTCATCTGTGGCTCCCACGTGCAGCCCCTGGGTGTGTCTTGATTCCTTTTTTCTGCCTCACATTGGGACTTTTCGCCACAAGGACCGCAATTCCACGACAGCAGAGCCACAGTTCTGGATTAACCCTGGGCTTGTGCTGGCTGCTTGCAGGGAGGGGCACAGAGCAGCACATGTGCAGTGGGTGCTTGTGTGTACCAGCCTATTCCAGGAGCTGTGGGGCGGGCATAGGCCAGACACAGCCCCATAAATGTTCAGAGTGTGGAGGTCCTAAGAGCTCAGAGTGGAGAGGGGTTGCGTCTGGCTGGGGAACCAGGGGAGGTGATGTGGAGCAGGTAGCACATGAGTGGAACCTCGAAGGAAGAGGAGGTGTTTTAACACCATCATCATCTATACTTCCCATCTTTCAGTGTCTGGGAGACCAGCCTGGGCACAGCTGTCTCCCCAGTTCACACATGTGTGAGCTCAAGCCCAAGACGGTAAGTGATTTACCCAGGGCCACACAGCACCTCTGATTGGGCCTAACCTTTCAAATAGTTGGATTGTTGTTTTCTCCAGTCACTTCCATTGCTTCTGTTTGCCTATGCCGGATCCACCCTGCCCTGCCCGCGGGGTGAGGACCAGGATTCAGAGCTGGCCGGGGCTGAGATGTGAGGGCCTGAACATACTCCATGCACAGATTCCAAACATGTCTTCCACCTATTTCAAGACCTGACATGCCCATTGCTGAGTCATTTCTGACATCTACCCATTTCCTTAAACCAGAAATCTGAAATTCATCCTTGATCAACTCTCCCTCATCTTCATACACCCCAGTTTCCCTCCAGAACATGTCTGGAATACTACTACCAAAACATTTGTTCCCTCATTAATTCTGACAATGATGCTGTGAAGTTGGTGCCCAAAGTCCATAGCCAGAGAGGGACAGAGCCAGGATTTAGCCCCAGCTATCTCTCATTACCACGGGAAGTAGAAGCCACCTGCTTCTCTCCATCCACATGGCCACACCATCAGCCCTTTCTTGGGTCACACCAAAAACCCCTCACTGGACCATTGACCCCAGTCTTGCCCCCGGGGACATTCCCCATAGAACTGCCAGCAGGATCCTTCTAAAACCATATCTTCCGCCCTGACCGGTTTGGCTCAGCGGTTAGAGCATCTGCCTGCGGTCCAGAGAGACCCGGGTTCGGTTCCCGCTAAGGGCATGTACCTCGGTTGCAGTTTGTCCCCGGCCCTGGTCGGTCGTGCGGG